TGGATTCGAAAACCCACGCACGTGCAGAAGCACATTGCGATTAGCAGGTTCCAACGGCCTTAACCACTCGGCACCTCGTCGCAGGATGTCATCGAATCATACGGAATCTTACATGCACACCTGCCCTTGTTCGCAAAACACTTCGACGAGGATGGATTTCGACCCACGCGTGCAGAGCACATTGGATTAGCAGTCCAACGCCTTAACCACTCGGCCCACCTCGTCACCAGAGAACATCGAACATCAGATTCTACATGCACACATGCCCTTAGTTCACAAAAACACGTTCAACGAGGATGGCGATTCGACCACGCGTGCAGAGCACATTGGATTAGCAGTTCCAACGCCTTAACCACTTCGGCCACCTCGTCGGCAGGGTGTCATTCGAAAACCCGATCCGAATCTACATGCCTTTGTTCACAAAACACTTTGGGACGAGGATGGGCATTCGAACTCCCACGCGCTGCAAGAGCACATGGATTAGCAGTCTAACGCCGTTAAACCACTCGGCCACCTCTCGGCAGGGTGTCATCGGAAACCATCAGGAATCTACATGCACAACATGCCCTTCTTCCACAAAAAGACTTCGACGAGGAGGGATTTCGAACCCACGCGTGCAGAGCACATTGGGATTAGCAGCTCCAACGCCTTAACCACTTCGTCCACCTCGTCGGCAGGTGTCATCGAAATCATCGGAAATCTACATGCACACTGCGCTTCTTCACAAAGCAGTTCGACGAGGATGGGATTCGAACGCCACGCGTGCAGAGCACATTGTATTAGCAGTCCAACGCTTAACCACTCGGCCACCTCGTCGGCAGGTGTCATTTGAATCATGCGAATCTACTCACACAGTGCCCTTGTTCGCAAAACACTTCGACGAGATTGGGGAATTCGAACCCACGCGTTTGCAGAGCACAATTGGATTAGCAGTCCAACGCCTTAACCACTCGGCCACCTCGTCGGCAGGGTGTCATCCGAACCATTCAGAGATCTACATGCACACATGCCCTTCTTCACAAAACACTTCGACGAGGATGAATTCGAACCCACGCGTGCAGAGCACATTGGATTAGCAGTCCAACGCCTTGTCCACTCGGCCACCTCGTCGGCGGGTGTCATCGAATCATCGGAATCTACATGCACCACATGCCCTTGTTCCAAAACACTTCGACGAGGATGGGATTCGAAACCCACGCGTGCAGAGCGACATTGGATTACAGTCCAAACGCCTTAACCCACTCCGGCCACCTCGTTCACCAGAGAATCATCGAACATGTCAGAATCTACATGCCACACATGCCCTTCTTCACAAAACACTTCGACGAGGATGGGATTCGAACCCACGCGTGCAGAGGCACATTGATTAGCAGTCCAACGCCTTAACCACTCGGCCACCTCGTCCACCAGAGGATCATCGAACCATCAGATCTACGATGCACACATTGCCCTTCTTCGACAAAACACTTCGACGAGATGGGGATTCGAACCCACGCGTTGCAGAGCACATTGGATTAGCAGTCCAACGCTTAACCACTCGGCCACCTCGTCGGCAGGTTGTCATCGAATCATCGGAAATCTACATGCAACATGCCCTTGTTCGCAAAACACTTCGACGGGACTGGATTCGAAAACCCACGCGTGGCAGAGCAACATTGATTTAGCAGTCCAACGCCTTAACACTCGGCCCCACCTCGTCACCAGAGGATCATCGAACCATCAGAACGTACATGCAACACATGCCCTTCTTCACAAAACCTTCGACGAGGATGGGATTCGAAACCACGCGTGCAGAGCGCAATTGCGATTAGGCAAGTCCAACCCTTAACCACTCGGCCACCTCGTCGGCAGGGTGTCATCGAATCATCGAATCTACAGTGCACACATGCCCTTGTTCACAAAACACTGCGACGGAGGATGCGGACTCAACCCACCGCGGTGCAACGAGCACATGGATTAGCAGCTCCAACGCCTTAACCACTCGGCCACCTCGTCACCAGGGATCATCGAACCATCGGGAGATTCTACATGCACACATGCTCTTCTTCACAAAACACTTTCGACGAGGATGGGATTTCGAACCACGCGTGCAGAACTCATTGGATAGCAGTCCAACGCCTTAACCACTCGGCCACCTCGTCACCAGAGGATCATCGAACATCAGAAGTCTACATGCACACATGCTCACTCACAAAACAGTTCGCGAGGATGGGATTCGAACCAGCGCGGTGCAGAGCCACATTGGATTAGCAGTCCAACGCCTTAACCACTCGGCCACCTCGTCACCAGAGACATCGAACCATCAGAAATCTACGATGCACACATGGCCCTCTTCACAAAACACTTCGTACGAGGATGCGGAGTCCGAACCACGCGTGCAGAGCACATTGGATTAGCCAGTCGAACGCCTTAAAACACTCGCCACCTTCGTCAGCGAATGTCATCGACTTATTACAATCTCGCCGGTCTCAAAATAAAGCGCCGGGTGCTGTGATATCCAATTAGCGCAGAATAATTTGTTGTGTTTTTTTTTTCACATAATTATTTTGAATGAATTTCAATCGCACACGTGCAGCGCTATTGGTTAGCTTTGCCATGCTTTTAGCGATTCAGATACCTGCCGGCTTATTAAGTTCTAGTGGTCTGTTCCCTGTACGTACTTATCAAAGCATCCTCTTCCCTCGTCATTCGCAGTTTGTGCGGGTATAAGGGATGTAGAGGGGGAGAAGAAAAGGAGAAAAGCTACGAAGCACGGAGACTTTGATTGAAAGAGCAAACCTGAATGCTCCTCCTTGCTATGCAGGACGTCTGCCGCCAGAGAAAGAAACAACGAAGTCGGCATCCCAGGGGCGTGGAACTGGAGAGGGAAGTCAACGCCTACTTAAGGCGGCTGGTCTGGCAAACGAATTCCGCATTGCACCTCATTCTGCAAGCTTTTGTGAGCGCATTGACCGGATTGGTCCGTTTCCCATTCGTAATATTGATTAGACCATCGAATACTCCGAAAAAGACTCAAGATATTTGAAATACTGTGAAAGAAACAAAATTACGAACAAAAATAAAAAAATTGAAAATTTGTCTGTTTTAGGCGTAATTGGTAGAGTATATTGTGCTTGGGCTGTTACAATGTGCGGGGGAGTTTCCTCCTAATTCATTTTGCTTTTCGTTAGATTAGCGCCCAAAAAATAGACAATTTACTTTGTTTTAATCCAGTATTTAAAGGGGAATTTTTTTAAATTATTTTTTCTAAAAAGTTTTGGTTTTTCTTGGGGCCTCCCTATTTTTAAAAAAAAAAAACCTAATTTTTATTTTTTTTTATTATCCTTTTCTTTTTTTTCCTTTTCCCCTGGTGGTTTTGTGGAATATGTTTCAAAATTACTGATGTTCGACACAAAATTACGCAATAACTATTCATATTTTCGAAAAAATTAACATTTTATTTGAATATCAATTTTTGATGATCAGATTTCATTACGAGAAATGTCTATCGTAATTATTGTAATTTTTGAAAGACGGAAAAAAAACTTGAAAAATTACAATTAAAAAAAAAGCATTGCAATGAAAATGATACCGGCGCCAACTCTTCACGGTATCCGAGGGCAGAGTTCAGTTCAAAAACGGGGAGCATTTTTTTTTAAAATTGAGGTATATAAATTACGATGCGTTTCGATAGGGAAATACCAATTTCGGTGAAAATTCCGTTGCTGTTTAGCTGCTAGTAAAGTTCACGTACAGAACGGACGGATGGGCCGACGGACGGACGGACGGACCGACGGACGGACGAACGGATAGATGGATAGACGACGGAGAGATACACGAAAAAACAGACAGACGTTTTGCCTTCAATGGATCTTTCGGTATCAAGGAACCACAAATTTAGATTCTGACTGCACGTGTTAGAGGCTGTAACTTACTGCATATAGGAACAAGATTTATCTAGTTTTGCGTTACCAGGCCTGACAGAGTTTTTCTGTTAAAAACCGCCTTTTTTGCCGCAGCATTACAATACACTCGCTATATTGCATAAGCAGCACGTGGAAATTTGAAAACTGCACCATTGATAACGTTATAAACATTAACTATACGCCCAACAATTAAAATACATTTTAAATGCAACATAAAAGAAAAATTATTGATAAAAACATCAAGTCGGTTAAACGCTATTAGACCTACCTCCCTCCCCCACAGGGTACCCTTTTGTGCTTTAACTTTTTAGTATGGTCATGTTGTTTTCTTTATTCGTAAACTAAATTGTTCAATTTTTTTGTTTTAAATTGTTTTAATAGTCGCAAAAACAACTTTGTTATTAACGACTATTACAGGTATTGTACTACATAGTAATTTGATAATAAAAATTATGATCTTTAACAATAGTTTTATTTTTACTTTCTCTCCCTTACTGTGTAAGAAGAGAGAACTGTAATTGTGCGCCGGAAAACTACGGATTTTAGACATAAAAAGCTCTTATTGCCGGGCCCTGGTAGCGAAAAATTGGATAAATATCGTTCCTTCAGAGAATGTCGCTTAGTATCTGCACACGGAGAGTACCACACTCACCGGAAGGCCGAGAAACTTTTGAATTGAATTGAATTGAATTGAATTTGCCTTATTTTACGTGGCGAGACTTATATTACGAATTTCGATGCGCTGGTTTCCGAGTAATACAGCATTGGAATTTGCAGGTCTCGCGATATACCGCGTGAACACGCGTACGGTTAATTAGTGAGAAAAGAGTATTCACCCACTTGTACGACGTCTGCGGTTTGAAAACACTTACGCAATACATAATTACAAGCGTAATTGGTATTTTGCAGCAAAACACGTGCAAATTATTGTCCTTTCTTACGGCAATTACCTTACAGGAGGACGGTGGCCCTCGACGAGTGATAAGCCAGAACATCCCAGGGGAGTGGAGGTCACCCAGAAGGTTGTTCAAAGGCTGTGAAATGAGCCACCGCCTCCTTTGTTGCAAACTCTAATTAATTGTTTAGAGAGCCTGCTCAAAATGTCCCCCGCCAACACGGCAAACATAAGGCAAGCGACGCAATGTTCGTTGCACACGCCCCAAAGTTTCGGCAGTCTTGGCCATGGCCGCGTGTACCCGTGCGAAGGAGTTGATTTGTCGAAGCGTAGCCTTCTCGAAGGCGGCGTGCAATGCGGCCACTTCGGTAGCAGCAATTCAACGGCTCTTGGTCGCGGAAGCACGATCTCGAAAGTATATTTTTTGCTGTGGCACTACTAGTTTTATTAAAGCGATTAACGGTACTCTGCTGATTAGAAAATGTAATCACTCAATTTTCGCTCTCCTAATGGCGTCACTGCCATTGTCGATTGTAATCATTTCTGGACTGGACAGCAGTTCCGTCACCTTTGTTGCTTTAGACACGATTTTCTTTGTACTGATGACTCGAGCGTAAGTCAATGCTTGACTCGTGCCATCCATGTTCAATGTCACGTAGGAACCATAGACAAATCTTACAAAAAACTGACCAAGATCAAAGTATTCATCTTTTCGATTAGAAATGTAAAGAAATAGTTTTATACGTATTTTTTGGTAAGAATATTCAGGAACTTGAAAATACCTGAATGGGTCACAGTAGTTATTGACACATTCAACATGAATGTTCAAGAACTTTTTCTAGAAATATTAATGCTCAAGAACAGAAAATGCTGAGAGTGAAGCAAAATAATTCACACAGAAAAAACAATGCTATCGACAATGAATCCGTTTCAAAATGAAACATAAATTGTAACAAATCAATTACTTAGGAACATGAATAAAATCTTAGTCTGAATATTCACATGCACTATTTTAATTACACATGCACTAAAAATAACGAGTTGCCATTTGCTAAATCGTTTCAGATTAGAAATTGCCTTTACTTTTTAATTCTTTTCAATTTGTTATTAAATATGCAGTACTCAAATATTACTTACAATAAAAAACATTTACTTTTAATGCATTTAAAATGAGACAACCTCGTTAGTGCTCATCAATAGTGACAAAAAAGGATATGTTGAATGTTTTATACAACTTCATTGCACATTCGAAGCCTCACTTTAAAAAAAAATACATTTAACGGGCTTGTGCAATGTGTGGCCTTAGCTAACACAGTTCGCATTCATTTCATTCTTTGACACGTAAGCTGGCCTTGGTTGCGGGTCGCTAATTCTCTTTTAGAATATTGGCTCGGTGTCACCACTTAATTGACAATACAATTCCATAGCTTTGTGTACCTTGTGTTTCGTAGATGCTCCAATGAACAACACCGCATCCCTCGCCGTGTCGCCTCCGGCTGCGCACTCGTCAGGCACTGCCGCTTCGGAGAGGCCGTGGCTCTCCCACGCAGCAACGTTTCAGCTTCAATCCAGACGTAACCGCTCCCTTGCAATGTATTACTTCTCTGCAGAGTCACCAAGTAAGATGAGGGAGTTGAAGCCGCAGAAGTTTTACTCGGTCAATGATTCAAGTATCAAGATGGAATAAGAATAGGAAAATAAAAATAAACACGAAAAAGCTGCAAGAAACATAACTTGGATTATTTCCCGTACTATATGAAACGTTCTCAGCGTCAATTCACAGCTGTTCAATACGTACTTTGTCGGGCCTAATAAGTTCCTAATCTTCTTTTGAAGATATCTGTATTTGAGCAAAATAAGTAAATTTAAAATGTAATTTATCACTGGAGATTTTTACGAATCCTTTTCTGGAACAATGTTTTGGTGAACTTTTTAACTATCAGAAGCAGACGACGAAACAGCCTTCACAACTTGTGATGAAATGCACGATTTATCTCTCGGTTCCAGCGAATTTCCGTTACAACTCAAAATTTGTGATTGGGTAAATTTAGTGATGCGAGGATTCTGCATTGGTAGCCCGCGTAGTGCCCTCTATGAGGCTCACGCCGAAGCAAAGATAATACATCTCGAGGCCAATTCAAATTCTCATGGGGCAAATCGCATTGACGAGCGGTTATGTAATAGGTAAGAAATCTTGTCTTTCCTCAGTCGTTTGGAGTCCAGATACAGTTTTCTGAAGGGACAGTAATTTAGCTTCTTATCAAAATTCAAGTACTTACAAACTGAACAGTTCTAATTAGAAAAAGACGGATTTTATTTATCTTGTATATTTATTGTACGTCAAAAACCGTTGCAAATGGTATGTGACGTTATACGGGGAGACGCGTTCGGAGAGAAGTCAGCAGGACATCTGGCGAAAGGAATCAGCGTAATGACTAGAACTGTCCAACGTCGTGTGTGCGAGTCACGTGCCCTCTGAAAACAATGAAACTAGTTCACAGTTTGAAAGCCCTAAAAAAACGAAAAAAGCCCTTGATGTGTCATCGTCTCGAGACGAGATGGGCAATTCCTCTCAATGCTTCATGCCTCTCTTCCCAGACTTCTTTTTATTTTCTTATGATATTGCCCGAGCGGGTAGTCACTTGTTCCCTAATATAATTACTTTCATTGCAAGTGGGAATGTAGAGCTTCGAGCAGCCCACTGCAGCGTCATCGAGTCATGGAGCTGTGCTCGCCCACTCCGCCCGTTCCGTTCATAGGACGCACGGAATTGATCCGGTGTCCGCCCGCGACGTCTTGTGATCCAGAATTAGACGCTCCGAACGGCGCAATAGGCCGATGGCTGCCTGGAAGAGGCTTTTCCTCTTTGCCATTGCTCCCATTGCCATAATCGCAGGCAGCGTGTTTTCACAATTGAAACTAGGTGGTAGAAAGAGTTGAAACTAGAAAGTATGTTATATTATGAAATT